GCGCTAGTTGCTCTTGGAAAAGGTAAATATCAACTTATACTGGGTTTTTCTTGGGTACTCCAGAGCGTAGAGCCGTCCGAGTCTGTCGGGCGTCGCCAGTACGAATCCAGCGCCAAGAAAACGATCCTGGGCTGCGCAAAGGGGACGAAGCTAACGACCCCATTGGCGCCTTGCTGACCGCCCCTTCACAGCGGCTCGACCTGACGCATCTCCGCAAGCCGAAGGACGTCCAGGAAAGCTTATCAAGGTCAGGCAGCTTTTTCCTGGTATCTCCATTTCGGATAGAGTTGATGCTGATAAAAGCCTTCGAGTCCGAGAATTGCCCCGTGTGCTTGGATTCCGGTGATTATGTGACACCTTTTTGGAGAACCCTCCGGCGATGTCCCATTTGCTGCAAAGGTACGCGATGTTTCTTTCTTTAATATTTATGTTTAGGGTCGCGGCTGCGCCAGCGTCCGTCTCCCCCGCCTCTGTTCAATGTGAGGTTTTCTCTCGTGCCGGCCTGTCTACGATAGATAAACAACGGAACCGTTTTGGATCCGAAGCGGGCATCAAAGATGCTATTCATTTCTCATCACCTGGCCGCCGAGAGGGCTGCAAAACTTTGGTACGTTCCGGTGCTTGAAGCCAATGTCGCTCTAGGGCGGCGCAAAGTGGTCCTATTCCGAACTTGCCCTACTTGATGCGAGATAAATTCTGGTCCAGACGCTAACCGACCAGGTAGTATCCCATCTGGTATCCCGAAACTTTTTCCGTTCAGATGGTCAATGGTGAGCAAGCCTTGAAGGCTTGCGGAAGAGGATGAAGACTATCTGCTTACAAAGAGGAAATTGCGCAAAGAAGAAGCCCTAAAATCTCACCCACCGGAAGAGTTTTTCGAGGATAACGAGGTAATATCTGATCATCTTCAAAACCTCCTTTCAGATATGACTACCGACACTTGAAGGCAATACTCTCCACCCGAGCCAGTCGCAACCCGGAAAAAGCCTAAATCTGCTCACTCAGAGCCCCTTTTTTGTGGTTTTGTTGGGTGAAGAAAGTTTCCTAAGGCCGATATTGTTGTTCTTGTTGTGTAGAGTCTCATTTGTTGTTACGTTTCACTTCTGTTCTAAAGCCTTTCTCGGCAAACAAACCGAACCAAGACCAAAACACAGACAAACTAACGGCACAATTATGGCCTATTCTGCCGCCCGCGTCTAACAATAAGAGCGATGGATGGTTACCACATGCCAATTAAAAATGGTTTGCGGGTTTTTTCGTCGAGCCATAAACGAATGGGAAGCGGAAATGCTGGCGCAGACTTTTAATTCAAAACCCCCGAGGTTCCACGACTAAAAAGTCCAATGCGATCTTTTTCGACTGAAAAGTCTGCGGACTTCAAAGTCCACGGACTTTTTCGGACTTAAAAGTCCGCGGACCAAAAAGTCCACGGACTTTTCGGACTAAAAAGTCTGCGGATTCAAAAAGTCTCCATGGACTTTTCGGACTGAAAAGTCCGCGGACTAAAAAGTCCACGTGACTTTTTCGGACTAAAAAAAGTCCGCGGACTAAAAAGGTCGCTACGAAGGTGGGATTGCTGCAACCCTGCGGGCATTTCGCTATACCCTTTCTTCGAGTGACGAGACTTGGGTTCACCGCATGCCCACCTGCTACAACTGGTCGTTCTCGGGGGGCTCGACGATCCGAAAATCTAAAGATCTTTTGTCGTGAGGGAATCTGTCATAACATCAAGACGATTCGCACCCATGTACGAGGCTAAAAGCATTATTTGAAGAGTTTGTTTATGATCCGACAACTTTAATTTGATTTAGGCTGCAAAAAAGTGGGGAATCCCTGTGAGACGAGCCCCGCGGGATTGTGGAACCGCTGGGGTGCTACTCTATGAGATGTTGGCCCCTTTTCTTCCGACAGGTTGAGAAAATCAAAATGGGTCGCGACGTCTCTTTTAGCGGCAAGCCTATGAAGTCCCGTGAGTGCAGAATGGCATGTTCGAGATTGCCGAAGATGAGCGGCAAATCATTGAAGACTTCCTTCAAATATTGAAGTATTTTCAATGATTTACCAAAAAGTAGAGTTTAACTACTTCTATTCAATGTTGGTTTAGTTCTCCGCTGATCAGATCAATGATTTTTAAACATATGTATGTTTTGAATATCTTGCCCATGGCTTTGTGAGCGTTAGCGATTTCTTCTTATCGGTAACTCGCCGTACCATAGCAGCCATCCCGACCGCACCGAGGTTGGCACCAAAATAGCCGAAAGGATGGCGGAGCAGCTGGCGACTAGGGGTGGAGGTAAATTGATTGTCCGCGGATGTGAACAGCAGCAGGTTCAGGCAGCGAAGCGCAGCAAATTGATCCCAGCCGCAGCGGCCTTGTGTGCCCTTACCATGGGGGGTTCGGTCATTAAAATCTTCTCTGAGGAAGATATGGCTGTCTAGGAGGGCGCGCTAGTTGCTCTTGGAAAAGGCAACAATCAACTTATACTTATTTTTTCGGAGATTTACTCCAGAGCGTAGAGCCGTCCGGAGTTCGTCGGGCCACGCGTCGCAGTACAAGAATCCAGCGCCAAGAAAACGATCCTAAAAGTAGGCGCGCACCTGGCGCGACGGCGCTGACGACTCCATTGGCGCCTTTGCTGACCGCCCTACACAGCGGCTCGACTCTCACGCATCTCCGCAAGCCGAAGGACGTCGAGGAAAGCATCAAGGTCGGGGCGGCTTTTCCTGGCATTTCCATTTCAGATAGAGCTGATGCTTAGATAAAAGAAGCCTTCGATTTCGAGAATTGCCCCGTGTACTTGGATTCCGGTGATTATGTGACACGCTTTTTGAAGCAACCTCGGCGATGTCCAATAAGTTCCAAAGGTACGCGATGTTTCTATCTTTAATATTTATACGAGAAGGGTCGCGGCTGCGCTTTTGTCCGTCTTTCCTGCCTTCTGTTCAATGTGAGAGTGGTTTTCTCGTGCCGGCCTGCTTGCATGGACCAACAACGAAACCGTTTGGATCCAGAGCGGCAATCAAAGATGCTATTCACTTTTCATCACCGTGGCCGCCAAGAGGCTGCAAAACTTTGGCCATTGCCCTGGTGCTTGAAGCCAATGTCCTTTCTAAAGCGGCCGCAGCATCGGATCCTCATCCCGAACTTGCCCTACTTGATGCCGAGAATCGAATTCTGGTCCTGACGCTAACCGACCAGGTAGTGTCCCCTCTCTGGTATCCGGAACTTTTCCGTTCAGATGGTCCCATGGTGAGCCGGGCCTTGGCTCGAGCTTGCGAAAGAGGATGAAGACTATCTGCTTTTACAAAGAGGAAATTGCGCAAGAAGAATCCCTGAAATCTCACCCACCGGAAGAGTTTTTTCGAGGATAACGAGGTAATATCTGATCATCTTCAAAACCTCCTTTCAGATCTGACTGCCGACACTTGAAGAGCAATGCTCTCCACGCGACCCGGTCGCAACCCAGGAAAAAGCCCTAAATCTGCTCACTCAGAGCCCCTTTTTTTTGTTGGTTTTTGTTAGATTGAAAGTTTCCTAAGGCCGATATTGTTGTTCTTGTTGTGTAGAGTCTCATTTGTTGTTACGTTTCACTTCTGATAAAGCCTTTCTCGGCAAACAAACCGAACCAAGAACAAAACACAGACAAACTAACGGCACAATTATGGCCTATTCTGCCGCCCGCGTCTAACAATAAGAGCGATGGATGGTTACCACATGCCAATTAAAAATGGTTTGCGGGTTTTTTCGTCAAGTCATAAACGAATGGGAAGCGGAAATGCTGGCGCAGACTTTTTAATTCAAAACCCCGAGGTTCCACGACTAAAAGTCCGCGGACTTTTGCAATCCAAAAAGTCCGTGGACTTTTAGTCCGCGGACTTTTCAGTCCGAAAAAGTCCGTGGACTTTTTAGTCCGCGGACTTTTTAGTCCGAAAAGTCCGTGGACTTTTTAGTCCGCGGACTTTTTAGTCCGAAAAAGTCCGTGGACTTTTTAGTCCGCGGACTTTTCAGTCCGAAAAAGTCCGTGGACTTTTTAGTCCGCGGACTTTTCAGTCCGAAAAAGTCCGTGGACTTTTTAGTCCGCGGACTTTTTAGTCCGAAAAAGTCCGTGGACTTTTTAGTCCGCGGACTTTTTAGTCCGAAAAAGTCCGCGGACTTTTTAGTCCGCGGACTTTTTTAGTCCGAAAAAGTCCGTGGACTTTTTTAGTCCGCGGACTTTTTAGTCCGAAAAAAGTCCGTGGACTTTTAGTCCGCGGACTTTCAGTCCGAAAAGTCCGTGGACTTTTTAGTCCGCGGACTTTTTAGTCGAAAAAGTCCGTGGACTTTTTAGTCCGCGGACTTTTCAGTCCGAAAAAGTCCGTGGACTTTTAGTCCGCGGACTTTCAGTCCGAAAAAGTCCGTGGACTTTTGAGTCCGCGGACTTTTAGTCCGAAAAGTCCGTGGACTTTTAGTCCGCGGACTTTTTTAGTCCGAAAAGTCCGCGGACTTTTTAGTCCGCGGACTTTTTAGTCCGAAAAAGTCCGTGGACTTTTAGTCCGCGGACTTTTAGTCCGAAAAAGTCCGTGGACTTTTTAGTCCGCGGACTTTTAGTCCGAAAAAGTCCGCGGACTTTTTAGTCCGCGGACTTTTTAGTCCGAAAAGTCCGTGGACTTTTAGTCCGCGGACTTTTTAGTCCGAAAAAGTCCGTGGACTTTTTAGTCCGCGGACTTTTAGTCCGAAAAAGTCCGTGGACTTTTTAGTCCGCGGACTTTTTTAGTCCGAAAAAGTCCGTGGACTTTTTAGTCCGCGGACTTTTTAGTCCGAAAAAGTCCGTGGACTTTGGACTAAAAACCAACACTACTCCCTGCCCTTATTGCCCCTTGATCGGCGAGAGATATGGGGCGAGACAGGCGGTAATCAATCCGCCCTCTCCGACTACGCAACGCTCCAAAGTCCGCTACACAGGCTACTGCGGACGTTCCTAGACGCTATGGTCTCGGACATCTTGTGTTCTACTTTTAAGCGACCGATCGCCGGGAGTTTCGAAGGGGCCGTGGTTGCTGTGGCGAGAAGTGGGTTGAAAGGCTTGGCCGACGACTTTTGGGCTTCGGCTTAGATTCGCTGAGGCTTAGGCTTAGTCTTAGTCTTAGGCTTAGACTTCGCTTAGGCTTAGGTTTAGGCTAGTCTTGAGCTTAGGCAGGCTTAGGCCTAGAATTAGGCTTATGCTTAGGCTTAGGCTTGGCTTGGGCTTGGCTTGGCCTCAGGTTAGGCTTCACAGTACCTTTAAAGCGCAAAATCCGGAATCAATCGAGCCGTTTCACGTCGCAATTTTGTTGCTGACGACGTGCTGGTCCACGCGATTCCGGCCGGAGTTGTGAAGGTAAAAATTTAGATTTTATTCTGTAAGCTCCACTAGATAAAATTAGATGACCGGATTTTACACCAATTTTTATCTGTCTTTTAGAACTCTTTACGCGAATCGATCGATCGGCTCGTGCCGGATTTTATCGAGATTTGGCGGTTGGACCCGGAAGTCGTTGGAGCTGAAGCATTGGTAGTTTTGCTTTTATTTTTCGATTTAAGTTTACCTTGTTGTTGGCAAACAATTTTGAGCATTGTTTTTTAGAATTCAGCTGCCCAATTTCTGGTCTCCCGTCTCGGCTGTGCGTACAATGATATATTTTCCGATAATTGCAGAAATTCCGAGGTCAGACTAATCCTAAACCTAAGCCTAAGCCCAAGCCTTAGCCAAGCCCAAGGCTAAGTCAAATCTAAAGCTAAGCCTAAGCCCCATGCCTAAGCTGAAGCCTACGCTAATTCCAAGCCGAAGTCGAAGCCTTAGCCTAAGGCTTGCTTAAGCCCAAACCTAAGCCAAGCCTAAGCCTAACCTTAAGCCTAAGCCTAAACCTAAGTAATCCTTTCTCTTTCAGGGTCAAGAAGCGTACTACTGCAGTCAACTGGTCACTTCCGCGTTTCCAGCCCTCGAATGGCCACCACATACCCTAAACTTCTTGGGAAAAGACGGCAGGATTCTACCGTATTTTGAGGAATACTACCGTTACCTCGGCCTCCAGGTCCCGCAGGGAAAACCGGGCAGTCATCCCGCCCAACTGAGAAGAGCGCGATTTCGGAAAGGTGCCAATTTTTACATTCTACTAAAAGTGGCATTTTAGGATAAACTCCGAAGCAACAGAATCGACACTCGTTCACTCGAACTTAAATTAAATTAGTTTAATAAATTTTGCGACATTTTTCCGCTGGCAAGCTAGCAAAGATGCTTTAGGAATTTATCGGTTACACACACAACTTTTTTCCGGCAGGTTAGCGGAGATCGTCTGGGAATTGTTGGTTTGATACATTAAACCGTTTTGTTGGCAAACTGGCAGAGATTCCTGGGAAATTCCTCGCTTTATTTTTAAAGTTTTCTAGAGCAAGCTAGCAGAGAACCTGGAGGAATTTAATTCAATTTAATTCAAAATAATTGCGTTTCGCCTCAAGGGCATACTAGCGGAGATTTTTAAGGAACTTTGGCAGCCTGGGTTAGACAGCAATGCTTGCTGGCAAGCTAGCAGGAGACCCTTTGAGGATGCGATTATTTTAGAAATATGTCGAATAAATTTATCGCGCTCTAATGCAAGCGGATTTTTATCCTTTTTGCAGCACAAAAATTTTTTCCAGGCCTGCTAGCAGAGACCCTTTTGGGAATCTGCCGATCCTTAATGCGCCCGGCCTTGTTCTATGAAATGACGAGGCAAACAGCAAATCTAAGCCGCATTTCCAAGGGCCCCTTGATGTTAGCGGAAGGACCCGGCCGAGTCTCGCATAAATCATTTGGGATCAGAAACAGAAAGACATCGGAAAAGGCATAAAATTGGGGGTTTTGTAGACACCATATCGCGGCTATGATCATATTCCGCATTTTCTAAAACTTACTGGTTACCGTATGCTTTTTGGAACGATCATTGGGGAAGTGAGGGCAGGCTAGCAGAGACCATTGAGGAAAGGGAGGGGCAGGCTAGCAGAGACCATTGAGGAATCGAGGGTAGGCTAGCAGAGATCATTGAGGAAGCGGAGAGATGGGCTAGCAGAGACCACTTGAGGGGTGTAGAGCGGGCTAGCAGAGACTCACTGAGGAATCCGAGGGCAGGCTAGCAGAGATCATTGAGGAAGTGGAGGGCAGGCTTAGCAGGAGACCATTGAGGAACCGAGGGCAGGCGTAGCAGAGACTCACTGAGGAAGCGGAGGATGGGCTGAGCAGAGACTTATTGAGGAAGCGAGGGCAGGCTAGCAGAGATCATTAGAGGAAGTGGAGGGCAGGCTAGCAGAGATCATTGAGGAAGCGAGGGCGGGCTAGCAGAGATCATTGAGGAAGCGAGGCCAGGCTAGCAGAGACCATTGAGGAAAAGGGAGGGGCAGGCTAGCAGAGAATTGATGAAACCGGTGCAGGCTGCCAAAGACATGAGGAAGGAAATAGCAGGCTAGCAGAGACCATTGATGATCCGATCACGCGTCTTAATCCCGTTTGCGCGCCTGATTTCCGGTGTTTTGGGTGCAAACAGTGGCCCTCCTCCACGTTTCACGACTCCTTGCAACCCCCGCGGGCCCTGTAATTGCCCTCGCAGCCCCATTTTCATCATCATTATCGTTTTATCGTTTTCTAAATGGCGCGCTCGGCATGTTTTCCATCGTTCTCGCTTAAATTCCAGCTGTATTAAAAGGTTTTGGCGGGGTTTAGACTTGTCAGACCCTTAGTTTTTAGACAGTTTTTTCCATAGTTCCCCTTTCAAAGCAGCCTGTTTCCCGGTATGCTACGTTCTCCTCTCTTTTTGCAGCTTCGATCGCCGTCGGGCTAAGGTAGCCGTCGCTCAGATGCCGGTTAAGGTAAAGCCAATCGTTCTGGTACTGTTAGCGGGGGACCAAATTTTTCACCGAGATGCTCTACGGCCCTAGGTAAAAATATAAACCATTTTTATAGCATTTTACATAATTTTTAGGCATAAAACACTATAAAAACAATGAAAAGCTTCGGATATTTTTGAATTTTTTGTCAAAAATTTTTGAAAATGATCAAAAAAGTCAGGAATTTCGAATTTTCAAAATCTTTAAAAATGTTTTCTTAACTTCTAGCAAGCAAGAACTATTAAAAACACCATAAAATACATTTTGTCTTACCAATAGTGGGCTGGAAAACAGAATGGATTTCCTGCTGAAAATCCCCCCGCTAACAGGCTAGAAGTAAAAGACCTCCTGACTCCTGTAAGGCCTTCTTTGGCTAGGTGACCACGTCGACCTGACCTTCCGGCCGGGATCAAATACGTGAAGAAGGGCGCCACGGACAAGCTGTTCGCCAGAGTGAAGCTACCATCATCGACAACTGGCCTGCGAACATTGGGCCAAGATCAGGTATTTGGGCAAGCTAGCAGCGATTCTTCTGGATCTTCCCAGGGATCTCTGCTAGGATGTTCTCGTTTCCTCAATGATCTCTGCCAGCTCTGCCCGATACAAATGATGTTTTCAGGACGGCATCCTGGCGGCCGAGTCGGAGCCGATCGCGTCTCTTCCCAAATGGAACTTTCACGATTTTCAAGCTGCGGAAGGAGGACCTGGCCACGTATCAGGAACCGGAAGCTCAGGTGGGCTTAGGCTTAGGCGTAAGCTTAGGCAGTGGGCTTAGGCCAAGCTTAGACTCTAGGCTTCGGCTCAGGCTTAGGCTAAAGCGCAGACTCTAGACAGGCTTATGTTTAGGCTTTGGCTTGGCTTAGGCTTACAATCGGGCTTCGGCCTTTACGCAGGCACAGGCTTGGGCTTGGCCGAGCCCCTGGCCTCCAGACCAAGCTTAGACTTCAGCACAGGATTAGGCGTAAGCTCCTCGGACTTAATCTTAGGCTTTCAGGCTTGGGCTTCGGCTTGCTGCTTACGCGTAGCCTTAGCCCTATGCTTAGCTTAGCTTACGCTAAACTTGGACTTAAGAAGGCCACAGCAAAAAATCGCATTCACAAAGGCTCCAAATCCGCACCCTGCGCCTACTACTTGGTCCTGAAGCCGTGATCAATTTTCGGGGACCGACTTCGGAACCACATCCGAAAACCGCTCTTGGCCCCCAATAAAGATAGTTTATCGTGTTTTTACAGTTATTTCCTACCGGAATTAGTATTGCGGCGTATTTTTAACTTTTCGCAAGCCCCAATTTTGCGCGGTTATTTTTGCGAGATTCATGCGGAGTTTTCGGAGTCTTATCACGTTTTCGGAACTACGCAGTGCTGCAAACACGGCAAAACTACATCCGTTATCAGGGGGAATCTAGGTATTTTTGAGTACCTTTTTTTGGGTAGGCTACAGGCTACTGAATGAGGGGGAAAAATGGCTAAATGCTTGACGGAAAGTAAGGCTAGTTAAGCTTGGGCTTAGCGTTGAGTTAGCTTAAGCTTAGGCTTATACTTAGATTTAGACCTGGACTTTGGCTTAGGATTAGGCTGGGGCTTAGGCTTGGGCCTACGTTCAAATTTAGGCTAGACTT